CAGGTCCTTGGGAAGGACTCGATGGGTGGATAAAAATGCCAAATCCAGTCTAAACATCTGGCTGACTATGTGACCAACCATAATAATAATAAAAAGCTGGACAAAGTTTGGTACTAGCAGGACCAGCTCCAGCATTATGTACAGTGAGGATATTACTTAAGGGAGGAGATGGGAATGGCAGTGACTGCTTTTCCTGTGCTCTCTCTGTGTTGTCCTTTGTGTTGGATGACAAATTTGTAGCTTCGATCCCTAAATCTCATTGTCAGTGTTGAAACAGCCTGAGTGTGTATCAGTACACTGCATTCACCCTGAAGTTAATGGGAAGTGGTCAACTGTATTTTGGCTTGCAATGGATTCTCTAGAGTATAGATCCTACCTTGCATAGAATGGCTTGAGCATGCTTGACGTAAAACTGGATTTTAGTTGCTGGTTAAAATGTGCCCGGACTGATCACTAGAACCATTATTGTTAGAAGAGAATGCTGTTTGTGATAGGAGTACAACTAAGGCTGGCTGTCTAATCCACACTTTCTCCATCTCCCTGAAAAGCATTTTGTAAAAAACTTGATTGTTCAAAGCCATGATGGATGGTAGAGGTATGGGATCAAAGATGGTATGATGGTTGGATTGAACATTTGTTTTCTAAAGATGGGGAATTGGGTGGAGAAATGTTAAGAAACTAAAACACTGGTGTAGTATCTGGTTTGGTGTGAAGAATGAATGTTTGTCAAAAAATGAAAATGAATGTAAGTATGCTTCTGTTGATTTTATTATATGGAAGTGCCATAGAAATTACCATTTTCCAGTATATTATAAATTGTGAATAACTGAATATATGATTTTGTTTTAAAAGCTTGAAAATCACTATTAAGCTCTAAGCAGAGCCTAAATGCCAGAAGCCATGATCAGCACCACATAAATCATAAAATGAAATTGTGAACTGCAGAAGGAACCTTTTTAAAAGGAAGCACTTTGTGAATTGTAACTCCTGATGCTATTTGTGAGCCACCAAAGATGGCACTGTTTTCCTTTAATCCAGGTGGCAAATTGAGGATTAGCAGGATTAGGTCAATTTTGGATATTATTTGCATATTAATTTTGTGGTGATTGACAAAATCCAAGCAGAATCCCAGAAAAGAAAAAAATGGTACTTTATGCCCTCTCCTCTTAACTCCAGGCCTGGTCTAAATGATTTACAAATATGTTTTCTAAAATAATAATACTCCCCAGAAAATTTATTTCATTGTGATCTTTTGCCAAGGGGAAGATTCCACAAGATAGATGATTAACAAACTTTTTTTCTTGTTTCCATATTAAAAAGAATGGGCAAATTCCATCTCTGTTGCACAACCAAACTGTTGGTAGTTTAATAATTTTGTAAGGAAAATCAGCACAGCCTGTTCTTTAATTCTTGCAGTAGTGAATATCTCTCAGTTCCCAAAAGGTCTGGTGTCTTTGCTCTTATAAAAGGAATATGGTGTGTCTGGCCAAATTGCAAAGGAAAGCTTTCCGGTGGTCCAACCAGCTGAGAAATTATTTATATAAAAGTATCCATTATCCTTGCAATCATTCCAAATATATCCCCAAAGTATGCTCAAATTTATACTTTTTACCTAGGAAAGTACATTTCAAAAATGGGAGATGCTCAACTTTTGAAGTTGACTCCAAAGATTAGACAGTCTCTCTACCTGTTTTTTTTACCTAAGTATGTACCATTGGACAATCAGCTTGGTGTAGTGGTTGAGGCACCAGGTTAGAAACCAGGAGACTTTGAGTTCTAGGCCTACCTTGGGCACAAAGCCAGCTGGGTGACCTTGGGCCAGTCACTCTCAGTCACTAGGAAGCAGGCAATGGCAAACCACTTTTGAAATCAGAGGCAGCTTTTGAAAGTGACAAGAAAATCCAGGCAATGTTGGTCCCAGGTTCTGGAAGAAGGTTGCCTATCCAGATGAAAAGAATGTAGCCTGGAGCTTAGGTAAAATAGCAAGTAGAAAGACTAACTGGATGGTTTAATTGCAAAATATAGTTTTATATATAAACTATGTAATTATATAATACAGGGAATAAAGCAGGTTTGTCCTCCTGCGAAGGTTCCACCATTCTCAGAGCTGCAGCACTAAACTGAGGAAGGTTGGGCCAACCTCTACATAAAAATCCTGCATTTATATTTAATGTTGGTATTCATGACTCTAAGCCAGTAGGCATTGATGAGAATTCTTGGAATTGAAGTCCCCACATCTAGAGAGTACCTAAGACAGAGGAAGCCTGGTTTTGGCCAAGGGTGGAGAATATATGGGCTTCCAGATGTTCCTGAGTTTCAAATCCTCCAGTTCCTGCCAACTTAGCCAATTTGGCCAACTTTGAAGGATGCTTGGAGATATAGTCCTACAACATTTGAAGAGCCACAAATTCTCCATGGCTGTTAGAGGCAACTAACTTTCATTCTTCAGCTTCTCTCCCTCCAGCATTTTGATAAATTAGGAAGTTGGCATTGTTCTACCTTGTTAGGTTGTTATAAGGATAACTACTATATAAACATTAAAAAGTACCATAAAGATATAAATATAATTCCATTCAACTAAAATAATCTGCAGGCTTAATTTAACCATGGTTTATTCAATCCAGTTTTCTAAGTCTGCATGCCATATTGAATCCATAAAATAATCGTACAGACTGAGTTCATGTAACACTGTAGGCTAGTTTGTGGTCCAGTGAGGTGTGCAAATACAGGTGATACGTATCCTTCTTCATCATCTTCTTTCCTTCTTGGTAATGAAGCTCATACTGAGAAACAAGAATAGTAAGAGGCATCGTAAAATTATATTCCTCCCGTACCAGAAGTGACATGGGGTAAATCATGCAGTCTTTTGATCTCATGTAGATGGTCAGAGAGTAAAGGACAGTGTCTGTCCCCATCACCAGCATTTCATTTCAAACCCTCTAATCTATTCTACCAAGTTTGGATACCCCCAAGTAGCATGGTTGTAACTAATATACACCAGGACTCTTTAAATTCTAAAATCCTCTGATGCTTAGCCAAGCCTGGGTGCCACCTGATCCAATGAGATCCCAGAAATTTCAGCTGGCCCCAGATGTCCTGGGATCCTCAGTTACTGAGCCGTGATCCACAAGGAGCAACAGCTGTCTGTTCCAGTTAAGTTAAAACTCTTTTGACCACTTTGTTGTTTACATTTCGTGCACATTACCCCTCAGTTCATTATATTTCTCCTTGTAACCAACGTCTACTTCAAACTGATAGGATCTTCATCCGTATGTCCACAGTACTTGTGAGTTCATGGTCTTTAACCTTGCTGTAAAACAAGAATTTTTTTTTTGAACTATAAGAAAACACTAGAACATTTCTGAAGAGTGAGATTCCAGTTTGCAGATCTATGTTCTCTCAAGGTTGGATTAGGCAGGACTGAGCCTGCATTTGACTCTTTCCATCATCTCTCAAAATCTGATGATTAACAAGTCCTGCCTCTTCTCCCTAAAAGCTTCAACTCCAGGACAATGCTGTTAGCCTCTTGGCACAAAAAGTGTCACTACATATAATGTAGTGGCACCAATTCTGCATGAATTGCATTAATTTTGATTAATTAATTGCAATTAATTGTAAATGCTACATTAATTGTGGCATCCTCCAATTGTGTGGCTAGGGAGAAGAACAGAGATCTAAGTCATGGTTTGTTTTAATTATGGTTTGTTAAACAGTCCCTATGATCTGGTTTTCATATCATGTTTACTTATAAGGTGGTAACCTGCAGGGTACAGATCAATAAATCACTCAGATTATTTGGTGTAATATTTTGTGCTTTATAAAAATATATTTGAGAAAGACATCCTCCCTTTCTTCATCCCCTTTTCTCCAGGTTGGGCTGAGAGATAGAAACTGGACCCCAATCCCCCAGGAAGCTAACAAAAGTCCTGAACTTGGGTTTCTCTGATCTTAATCCATCTTCTTTATCACTACACAACAACGAAGCATTAGATCTCCACTTAGGGTCAACACGGCTATTTGTTTAGAAAGTGCAAAGTTCTCACCACAAGCCCTAATTCTTCCTCCAGTGACCTAAACCACATTGCAATTGTGCCCAGTGCTGGAAATAAATTTGTGGTGCCCAGTTGCAAAAAGGTTGCCTGCCCCTGCATGGATTTAGAAACCACAATGGCTAGGTTCAATAAGCAGAAGGTGATATTTGGCTTAGCACAATGTGTGAATCCAACCACACATAGCAATTTTGGTTTTCAAAAGATCTTCAATTGCAAAGCCAGATTCCTTTGCTCTAAGCCATCGGGTTGTCTTCTTCCTTCTCTGGAGCGAAAGGAATCAAGGGTTGGCATTGGGGCTGAGGATGGAAATGTGGAGTCCTTCGTGCTCTCTGAGTTTGGTTGTTTGCTTGCAGATGTTTCATTCCTGATGTTTCATTCCCTTCATCATCAGTGCTAGTGAGTGTGGGGTTTGCTCCCTGTTTCTATACAGTAGCTTGCCCTGCCGGTGTTGGTGGGGGTGTGGTTTCCTCCTTGATATTCCCTTGATTAGGGTATTGTTTTCTGCTTGATTGTTTGCCTGGAGTTAATCCCTGCTTATCTGGGTGTAGGCTGCTGGAGAGGATGTGTTCTAGACTTTTTGTTTCCTTCTTAGCTTTTTTATTGTCTCTTTTGAAAGGTGTGTAAATAGTTTATTTCTACGTGTCTATTGGCTGATTTGTGTGTCTGTGATTTACTGATGCCTGATCTATGTGTCTATTGGTGGCTGTGTCTATTGATGGCTCACAACACATGGACAGACTCAACCATAGTTTCAACTAGGAAGTTGTGAACATCCTAGACCAAGTTAAATCCAAAAATGTTAGGGAATTCCTGGAAGCTTGGCATTCAGGCAAATCAGCCATCAATAGACACAAAACCATCATAAACCACATCTACAGGATGAGAGCAGAGGAGCAGAAGAAAGGAGCAGGTGACATTACTGGTGATAAGTTAGATTCCCCAAAGGGTGGAATCTTAAAGGTGGCTTTCTCTAGAATCCTCTAATATCTAGAAGCAGTGCTGCTAATAATTAGTGATGAGGGAGAAACTTGGGTATTTGCATTGAATGTGAATTTATTTAATGCCATATTTTCAAATAATAAAAATGTAGCTCTCATTTGAAATTTTCACTTTCCAAATTCCAGTGCAATTTACCATTTGATGATAGATCTATTAAGGGAACTCTGTATAAAAATGCATATGTTCATGAAAATCATGTATTGTATGCATTACATTAAGGAAAGTGTTGGCAAAATTATAAATAAAGTGGCATATATTGGGGAAAATGTGCACCAAAATGCATGTAATCAGAAAATTCAGGTTTGACATTTCAGGTTTGACAAATTTACAGTTATGAGAAAATGAAGAACTGTACGTGACAGGTGCACAAAAATGAAAAAAAAAAGGGGGTGAAACCAAAACTGATACATACATTTTGCAAATAAGATTGCAAATAAAAATTCTCATGTTTGGGAAATACAACCCAAAACACCTACAAATCATTAGCATAACTTCCCAGCTTGACAAGCAAGTGTGACAAATGTGCGAAATTGACAAATGGAGCAAAACCCAGAATGACATTCCTCACCCATCCCTACGACAAATAACCCAAATGACTATATGTGAAATAGCCAGGCCACATTCCCACCCCCCACCATGACTTTACCACCAGTTAGATGAATATGTTGATCCCAGCACTTCTCCTCCTTTATGGCACTAACCTTCAGAGAACTGCCCAGTTCTCCTGAGGTCTCCAACGTGAGTATCCTCCTTGGGCTGGTTGCCTTGTCAATCTTCCTTATGTTTTTCACTCCTTAAATGCTTCCCTTCTCAAGGAGAGCATGTGTGTTTTTATGCATAACGATAGCCCTCCATCAAGGCACACTATACAAGAGGCAAGGCAGAGAAGAATTCCAAGTATGTTATATTTGCTGGCCAGAAGAATTCAAGTTGGACAATTTCCAGGACTCTCTAGAGCAATAATTAGAGGCATTATGGATTCGTGGTATTATAATAATGGGATCAGAGGTGGGGAATTTGTGATCTTACAACAGATGGCCTGCCCTTCTCTTGGCAAAATGCATTCTTCTTTGGAAGTGCTACCTACTTTGTGCTCTCAAAACCCAACAAGTAGAGGTGAGAAGTTCATCTTTTGGTACTATGGGAAATGTGTACCTCACTTGTATAAAATTAATGTCAGGCAGAGAAAATGTCAGGCATTTTGTCCTACTAGTTCTCCTTCAGTTTGATGAGAGAGAATTTCCTTGAGAAACTCTTTAAAAGTGGAAAAGACACTTCAGATAAATTTTTAGAGGTGAAACTTGTGGTTCTTGTTCTTTAATGAGGAGATGTGGCTCTCCTGCCTTTCATTGTGTCATTTTCTTTGTAGTAGTCAGCAGCCTCCGTGGTTTATGTTAGATTCCAAGGGAAGATGTTGGAAGGTGCTCCTTCCCATGATTCCTTTACGGGAGTAGTGGGGGGACAGGGTGTCAAAGTCTGCAAGATGGCGGGCGTATCACAATCCAAATCCTACCTCTTTTGCATAATAGGTCCGACATTAGGATTATTTTAAAACAAACTCATAGCTTATCCCTGATTGCATTAGCACATCAGACCAAACAAAAAGCAAGCCGCATTAGAATTTAACCACCTCCACGTATTATAGCTTTCCCTTCTACAACCTTGATAGTTATTGTGGAAAAAATTGCAGTTTGGTAGCTAATTTTTGCAGGGTTTCTGAGAGCCACCTTAAAAGCTTTGGGGGGGAGGGGGCAAGCACAGACCTGCGGCTTGAGGTTTTGCATCTGTGATGGAGCGTGATGTGCAAAACAGACTACTAAGGCTTGTTCAATAAATGACAGTTAACACAAACCATGACCTAGTACAGCGTGCTAATTTTAGTATGTAGTTGGGGGCATTTGCCAGGTGTTTGCTTTCAAGAGAAAATATGAAGTAAAGCACAGGTGACTGATGAAATATGCATCATGGCTGTGATGTAACTACAAAAGGGTGATGCTTAACTTATGAAGTCATGACATATTTCATTGTTTTGGCAGCATCGTGACTAGGATCAGACATCTATAGTGCAAAGCCTCCAATACAGGTAGTCCTCATTTAACAGCCATTCGTTTAGCGACTGTTCAAAGTTATGACAGCACTAAAAGTTACTTACGACCAGTCCTCACCCTTACAACCATTGCAGCACCCCCAATCCAGGTGCTTGGCAACCAGCTTGCACTTACAACAGTTGCAGCATCCCAGGGCACAAGATCGCCTTTTGCAACCTTCCCAGCCAGCTTCTAGCAAACAAAAACAATGGGGAATGTGATTCACTTAATAACCATGTTATTCACTTAATGACCATGGTGATTTGAATAACTGCCACAAAAAATGTCCTAAAATTGGGTGTGGTCACGTGATGCCTCGCTTAATGATCACCCTCTTAACAATGAATTTTCCGGTCTCTATTGTGGTCATTAAGTGAGGGCTATCTGTAGTTATGCAGTGTAAGAGTTGCTGTGTGTATGGAAAGGTGCAAGCAAGAAAAGACTTAGAACATTTAGGTTCTTTTTTGGGAAAAACATTGATATGGGGGAACCTAATAGAGCTGTATGAAATTAGGCACAGCCTGGAGAAAGGGGACAAGGAGAAGTTTTGCACCCTCTTCCCAAGGACTAGAACCAGGTGAGATCCTATGAAACTGACTGAATATAAATTGAGAGCAGATAAAAGGAAGCCCTTCTTCACACAGTGCATCTCTAACCTGTGTCATGCATTCCCACAAGATGTGGTGATGGCCATCTTTCAAAGGGTATTGGACAAAGTCATGGAGGACAAACTAGCGTTGAAGACCCAATGTTGCCTCCAGGTTGAAAGTTGCCTCGATCGGCCTTGGTTTGATGTAGCAGGGCTGTTCTTATGTTCTTAAGAGCCTTCATGTTTTGCACAAGAAGAAAATGGGGATGTAAACCAAAAAACACAACAAGAAACACACAAGATGTTAAACACATGCTGTATTTGAACATCCTTACAAAATAAGTAGAATTACAATGCATGTTTCCATTTCTAGCCAAAGTTTATAAATATTTACAAGATCCTATGTGGCAAAATTGTCTTGACCTGCTGTGATATATTTCAAACCAGGAGGGCTTCAGAGAACAGCTCAATAAATCAAACACTTACAAATAAAGGAAACAGATTTAATGAAATAGAGAGAGGGATACCGTGGGGGGTGGGGGGAGAGAGTTTCATTCTAATGCAGTACTGAGTTCATATGCCAGGGAAAAAATGAATTTCCTGTCCATCTCCTGCACAGGACTACATTGTATGTGGAAGTTCAGCCTGGAATTTGGACAGTGCAAGAGACAAGACGGATTTAGAGTACAAAAACCAACCCCAAGGACTCAGCATGCTGGCTTGTTTGTTGTTTGGGTTTTTAAAGAAGACTAATTCTGCAGCCTGTATAAATTAAATGGAACAAACATATATTACCTTTTTCTCCCTAGTTGAGTCTGCTAGCTCTACAGAAAGGCAGCATTCTGAAACCTGAAATGTTTCTGCAGGTATTCCTCTCATTTCTCAGATGACACCACCAGGGCTAGAAATGTTAATTCTTTAGAAAAAATAACTAATTCTGTTGCACATCACATGCATAAAAATAGGGCCAGCTGAATATTTTTCAGCTGCAAACTAAGCTTTCCTTCCTTGTTGCTTTTGCCTTGAATGTATAGACTCCACACTGAATTCTGTTTTCCATAAATTTCCTCCATGATTTATGCAGACCTCTGATTCCATTTGAGTCCAGTTTTTACAAGCTCTTTTAAAAAGGGTTGTACATCATTTTAAGCTGTAAAAACAACTTTTGAGAAAAGGATTTATCCTGAAGAAGTCAGCCACTCAGAAGCATATGAAGAAAGGTCCTGTTCCATGTAGGAAAGGTGGTTTTGCCAATCAGGCATGGGCCACCAATCAGGGCCTTGCACCAGCCTGCTCTAAGAAGGAGAAAGATAACCTTGGCATTGACTCAAGGGCCAACCAGTCAACACTGCACACAGCCCTTTTCCAACTACGTAACTTTCCAGCTGGTACAGTGTTTTGCAAATGCAATGAAGATTAAAAACCAGCAGAACAGGATTCCCCTAAGATTAATTGGGGGGTGGGGGTGGAGGAGAAAGATGAACAATATCACCAAAATATGTGTTTCAATACTGTAGTGGACTTATTGCTAACATGGCCCTTGGAGAAAGCTAATGCACATCCAGACGTCATATTATAATAGGCCTTAAAACAGGAAGCAGACCTAGAGAAAGTAATTACATTCTAGCTTAAAAAAGACTATTCAGGGTTTACTCAATTTAGTCAAAGGATTCATATTTTTTTGACCAGTGCTTTCAGAAGAATAACAGCTGAAGTTTTTTTCCTCGTCTTTTGCTTTTCAAGCACTACACTTTTGCTTCCCATGTCTACCTTTCACTGGCTCTTATTGGGAATTCAAGAATTCTCAATATGGAGAAGGAGAAGGAGGAGGAGGAGGAGAAGGAGAAGGAGAAGGAGAAGGAGAAGGAGAAGGAGAAGGAGAAGGAGAAGGAGAAGGAGAAGGAGAAGGAGAAGGAGAAGGAGAAGGAGAAGGAGAAGGAGAAGGAGAAGGAGAAGGAGAAGGAGAAGGAGAAGGAGAAGGAGAAGGAGAAGGAGAAGGAGAAGGAGAAGGAGAAGGAGAAGGAGAAGGAGAAGGAGAAGGAGAAGGAGAAGGAGAAGGAGAAGGAGAAGGAGAAGGAGAAGGAGAAGGAGAAGGAGAAGGAGAAGGAGAAGGAGAAGGAGAAGGAGAAGGAGAAGGAGAAGAAAGACCACCATGGGAAATCTCCAACCCCAGGGGAAAGGGAAATGATGAAAAAATGTGTCATGACATCCCAAAGTAAATTAATCCCTTATATGCTGGTGACTGATGTCACAACACACATCCAAAAGGGAAGAGCTTGTACTGTAATGTCACAACCCATCATTTGCTGTTTTGGCATCACCGGAGTTGAGAATGGATGCCTGTGGCTCCCTTCAGTTATCCTCCTATTAGACCTAGCCAACACTGTGCTTCATGAATGACGTGAGAGCCAGCCAATCAGCGTCTCCATTGGCGAATGATGGCCCATCCTAAAACAGGCTGTAAAAGGGAGATGCAGATAATTTGCTTCGGTCCCAACCGTTTTACATGGGTATCCTATTGCTTATCCTAAGGCAAAAAGTAAGCAAAGGTATAGGATCTGTGCCATGGCATGGACACCGTGCTTACTGACAAACATTAACCGGGTTGAGCGCCCTGTCAACTCCTGCACCCTGGCATTTCTAAAAACAGAACTGTGCCCATAGAGCAGTCAGGCATATGCTTTCCACCAACACCACCCCTTCCCTTCCCCTCCCCAGCAAGCCACTGAAGCCTTTCTGGGACATAGATTGGATCTATCCATCTCTACACTGCTGGTAGTTGCCCGTGATCCAAAAACAAATCTGTGCGTATTTGAGGGGCGTGATACGAACGGCCACATTGTAATCCTGGGGGGAACCGTTGGTGTCCACCCACTGGTGCCCAGAAAATATCCCAATAATTTTACGCTCCCATTTGTGGTTCTGTCTCTTCCACATCCTCACATACACTCCAGAACCACTGGCCCCTGGCTGGGCGTCACACTGCTGATACAAGAGATCGTAGGTTTCATCTTTGACATCACAGAACCGGTAAACCAAGTTTCCAGGCCGATCATTGTCATAGCCCGAGAAATGAATTCTTCCTCTGGGCAGCTGACTTGCTGTTGGACTCACTCCTATGTTCATGAACTTTCGCTTATGGGGTTTCTTGAGCTCCAGCAGGGCATAGTCATAATCCATGCCAATGTCATTGGCATTCCCTTTTATCCATCCTTTGGGAACATGTGTCCGTTTCACCCGAATCCACTGGAATTTCATTTTCTCAGGCTCAAGGGAGTTACTGTTGTTGGTCCTTTTGAGGCCATCTTTCGGCTTGGGTCTCAGGAACCCAACCCGTAGCTTCTTGGCTCCCTTGACATAACTTTTGCCATCGTGGATGCAATGAGCAGCTGTCAGGACATGTTTTTCAGCCACTAACGTTCCAGTGCATCCTGTGGACAACTTCACGGAAGTAGAAAAAGGGTAATTCAGCAAGAAGTCCTTGCCAAAAATACTAAACCTCGTGTCATAGCCGTAGATTTGCCTCTTTGTCCGCGATCGGCTCTGTCCACCTGCATTGACCCTGTTAACAATGTAGATGCCAACTTCTGTCTCGGTGCGGGAACCATTCGAGTACAACGTCTCATAGGACAAATAATCTTTCACCTGTTCATACGTTGGGAGTGGGGAACGTTTGTGGCAAGATGGACCACATGAAGAGACCACTTCCAGTTTGGCTTCTGCATCGAAGTGTGGTTTGTCCAAATGAATTGTTAATTGGGGTAGAACAACGGGTACCTTGTAGGTTGGCCAAGTTGGCTTCCCATGAGGATGTGAGGGTGCAACTCCTTTTACAGTCCATAGGAGTAGGAGGAAGACTGGCAATGCCCCCATGGTGAGCAAGGATCTGGATAAAAAGAAGAAAAGTCTTACAGTTAATAGATAAAGAATTAAGAGACTGTTATACCTGAAGAAACAAAGTTCTTGGGGACTAGCTACAGAACAGATCTGTACTGGCTTTCTACCACTTTAGTTATTACTAATCTGGAACTGTAATTTAATGAAGGTAGAGACTTTAAATTCAAGGACTTGAGGAAGTGATTACCAATCTAGTTGAAATTCAAGATTATAGCTGTGGTTGCAGTTATTTTCTAATCCTGGATCAGTTTCTAAGACAGGAGTGGGAAGTTATAGACTTTCAGGTCAGGAGCATCTGCAGGCAGGAGTCAAAAAAAAGTCAATATTGCAATTGCACAGCTAAAAGCCATATCCCTTTTCTACTTGTGTTGCATGTGATATACATAAAAAAGGAGGTGGAGCTTTGATCACATGCTTGTGGCCACCCCCCTTGACTTTTTTGACACCTCCTGTGGAGACACCTGTTCCAAATGTTGCTGGACATCAGCCCCTTGCAGACACAACTACTCTGGCCAGTTGTGAAAGATGACGCATCTGGATGGCCACAAGTTTTCCAGCTGTGCTGCAAGGCAATTCCCACATAGTCCTATAGAGAAGATTGTTGGATATACGTAAATATGTGAGAAGTCATTCCAACGCAACTGGAGAAATACAGGTTTCCCAAAGGCAATTTGGAGACTTGCTGTTTCTCATCCTCAGTTCCTCATTTGTAAAGTGAAATAACTGCCGTAAGAATTGGGTATTTTCCTGCAAGAAATGATGTTTCAGAACTGATTCTAATTTATTGGGAGAGATGAGGTGTCCAGAAGGAGTTTATTATTTGTGGATACCTTGTCGCCAATCCTTGACAGTGACTGCATGTTCTTTCCAACAAACTGTGATCCTGTTAACACACACACACACAATCACTAAAGAACATGTAACTTCAATGTATTTTTTGTTTAATCTAATGACATGTGATTCTGTGTTCCTGAACTGTATTTACTACATTAGCATTCTACCCTCACCTAGCTGACCTTAGCTGATCTTCAAAAGCTAGGTAGGGCTGGGCCTGGTTCATACTTGGATGGACACCACCAGGAAGCCCCAGCCTTATAGCCTTGAATGGAAATTTAAAAAAAAAATCACAGAAGGAAAAAATGGCAAAAACACTTCCAAAGTGCTATCAAGAAAACCAGATGGGTGTGTCCATGAAGTCACCAGGAGTCAAATTTGGCACAAAGGAGGCTCCCCCCCCCCCGTTTTTTATTTTATTTTATTTTATTTTGCTTTCCCACCCAATGGAAGGTTGGAAAGTAGGCACTCAGGAACCTGCTTGCCCAGGATAACTCTCCAAAACCTGAAAGAACAGAACCAAAATTGGTAGGGTGGGAAACACCAGCCAAAGATGGAGTTAAAAAATGGACAGCATCTGGTGTGGGACGCCAGGAAAAGCGTTACCGAAAAAATTCTCCCAAGTCATCCTGCCGTAAGGGCGAGGCAGTGGGGTAGCAGTTGGAACAGTGTCCACGGCACCCTTTGGAACCCCTTCCCTGCTCCCTTTTGATCACATGACCTGCAGTGGAGCATATACACTCCCCTGTGTTTTCCAAAGAGCGTGTAAACACAAACACGCATAGATGCAGCATGAGTTGAAAGCAGAGGCACACACCCACATAGGCATAAAACATGCTCCTTCGTGCCACAGAAGGAAGTTCAGATGCCTCCTGTGCCAGCTGGTAGTGAAAGAGTTGGAGACAATTCCAAACCATCCTCTGCAAGCCTTTCCTACCTGGAGCAGCTTATGTTCTGCTCCAATAGATCGGGGCATAACATATTCCAGTTCCCCCCCCCTCCCAAGCCACAGAATAGGCTTTAATCAAAGCAAAATCCAAAACTCTACACATTTTTGACCTAGCAATGTATTTCAACAGATAAATGGAGATGTTTTGTAAAATTCACAGATAGGGAAGGATAAAAGAAGATCATTTGAAAGTAGCACTCTGTAACATCATAATTCACAGAACATAGTTGCGGGTGGTGTTCCCCCAAATTCTTGTCCATCTGTTAAGAAAAGGAAGCAGGTCAGTAAATTATTAATACTCAATTATTAATACTCGAAAGTCTGAGATAGACTCTACCATGCTTAAGATAATGTTTTAAATTTTTTACAAGCCCTCCTCCCTTTCGAATTGCTTACAACCCCCTTGGGGCGTCTCAACCCACAATTTGAGAACCTCTGCACTACTGTGTTGCCTGTTTTCAAGAGGCTCCAAAAACATCATGAAGCCCAGACCGTCTCCCAAAATTTCTACTCATCATGGGAACAAAAAGAAAAAATCAAAGCTACATTGTCCAAAGCAGTCTGCATACACAAGAGGAAAGCAGAGAACAAAAAGCATGCTATTCTGTTCGGTAGCAAAGAACAAAAAGCATGAAAACAGCATGGAGGAGAGGGGAAAAAATGAAAATTTTATTTGAAACATAGCCAGGCAACTAAAGCACCACAGGCATGAGAATTCCCGCTGCAAAGAGGGAGGAAAACTCGCCCACTCCTGGTTGGGATTATTCAAACAAACCATAGCTATTAGATGCATCTTTATGCATATTTAAACCCAGCTGGGGTTAAATCAATAAGAGTTGGAGCAGCTTGGCTTCATTCTTGAAATGCCGCAAATGAACGGAATATGCAGCCGGCCCTGGAAAAGGGTCCCTGGCAGGGGGCGAGGAAGCAAGAAATCGAGTGCACCAATCGGGGTGGGGTGGGGTGGGGTGTATAAATCCTGTAATTGGTTTTATACAATAGGATGACTTTTCTCCAGCTCCATTCTGCCTTACTCCAGTTTCTACCACCCATTGCTCTTGTTTGAAGGGTGGGGGTTGCTGGATGTAGGCGCTGGAAATGCTTAGAGATGGGCAAACATTTTGCATCTGCAGGCCCACTTTTCGAAAATGTTAACCTCTGGAGGATTTCCAGAAGATGTTACCAAAATAGATGAAGCCACCTTTTCCAGCTTCTTAGAGGAAACTGGGAGTTTGGAGAGATGGGTGCAAAGCAAAGCAACACCAAGTGTTGACACTGCATCAAGAATGAATGCAGTTCGCTTGCCTTTTATTCCAACCTGGTGGTCTTCCCAGAAGCTCAGAAGTTGCTGCAGTATGGTCCTCAGAATGTATCTGCAAGGTAGGCTCAATCAAAGGAGAGCAACAGACAAGACCATTTGCTAATCTTAGTGTTCTGAACCCTGTTCTCTTTGAACAAAATGAAATAAAACTGGTTTCTTCACATTGGGAAGAGGAGTGAAGGTCCACTGGAGGAACATCTAAACTTTCTGATCCAAGGAAGGCCTGGCAAACAGGCTAAGTAAAGAACTGCAGAGGACCAAGCAACACAACCAAGAGGAGTGTAATATTTTATGCAATGCCAGAATTGTAATTTTAATGTGATTTTTGGATATGGCTGTAAAAAATGTGGCTTGCCCCAGAGCTGTCTACAGAACTGGAGACATTCTTCAAAATGACAATAGCATCATGCCTTTGCGATGGAAGCTCCATCCATTTTCTGTGTGACATCATGCCACATGTACCAAAGGGGTGGAGTTTGCATCAAAGAGACACCATACTAAAGATGGAAAGATTCAGCATTACCCACAATGGAGGAAGGCTTGGTGAAGATGATGGAACTTGCTGAGATGGCTAAATCGGCTTCCTTGAATAGAGGAAAGACAATATCTACGTTTATTGCTGACTGGAAACCCCTTGTGGACTTTTTGCATGAAACAGAGAAAAATAAACTTATGATTTATGGTTTTGATTATTAGACAGGGTAGATTATAGAAAGAAGAGAGTTATGTTGTAACCATAGAGTGAGAGGTAAATTTATAATTGTACTTATAACTGCTATAAAGATTGTAAGCTACTCCCTTGTTTCTTTTTTCTTTCCTTTCTATTTTTCTTTCACTTTATTTTCCTTTCTTACTCTTTTAGCTTTCTCTTTGAGTTCTTTCTTTTTCTTTTCCTTTTTTTTAGTTTAGATTAGCTTGTATTAGTTTTTATACTCCTTTTTAAAAAAAATCTTTAATAAAAATTATACATATAGAAAAAGACACCATGCTGTTTTAATCAATGGCCCTGCCTGCCTGCCTGTGGCTTGCTCCAATATTTCCTGGGGTTATGATAAAAGTTGTTATGATTATTTCTACATTGCCCCAGGGATCTCCTTGATGGAGAATGCAATTTACAGGATGAATCAATACATAAATATCAAATGGGTTCTGTCCAATTCAGTAAAACTACATGTTCATTCTTAGCTCCACCATCACTTTTAGACAGCTAATGTTGGGTAAGTGCCTAAAACAAAGGGAGGTTTTATCTTCCTTCTTTTAAGGTGGGGAGGGTAGATTGGATGCACGTTCTGATGAGAAGAAAATTAGCACTCTCTAGATTCTTTTTGTACTTACTATCATTTCTGATGTTTAGCTGTGAGTGCCAATGCTTATGAAGTACACAAAACAGGGATACCCACAGTCCAGGGAGGGAGCTCTTAGCATACTTCAGGACCCACCACCAACAAGCAGGGGTTCTCTAACTGTAGGTCAGGAGCAACCCAGAGCAGAAAGGTCATAAAATCAAAGTTCTACATTAACTCATTTGTTATTTGGGTGTTATGATACAGCAAACTTTGAGAACCCACACGCTAAAAACAGGACCTTAGTACAAGTCAATGAAAGCTCAAAGGAAGGGTTCAGAAGATGGGTGGGTATAACAGAGCAGAGTTTTTTGGAGGGCACCGCAAACCAGCAGAAGGCACAAAGAGGAATTCTCTATGCTACAATATTTTGTTGGAACAGTGGGTTGTTTTTTTTTAATGGCATATGTCCTTTGATGGGAGTCAGCACCCTGGTGCTCTTCTGATGTTTTGGACTACAGCTCCCATAATCCCTTGGGACTGGCCACCAAGGCTGGGGGAATGGGAACTGAAGGCCAAAATATTTGGAAGATACTAGCTTGCTTGGTCCTGGTTTATATATTACCCTGGGACACTGTTCCTGAACCACATGGAATATTTAACAATATTCAATACAACAGTCGGTAGGCGTATATGTGTGTGTTTCAAATTTGTTTGTTTGTTTATTTATTATTCAATTTATATGGCCGCCCATCTCAAACAAGCGATTCTGGGTGTCAAACAATCATAAAATCAATTAAAACCGATAAGGACAAGCACCTGATGTTGCTGTCCTTCTTTTTTAAAAAACTCATGATCTAGGACAGTGTTGTCCAAACTTGGCCACTTTAAGATGAGTGGACTTCAAC